TATCTTTATGTTGCCATACCAACCGAGTATATTGCAGAAATCAGGAAATACTTATCATATTTAGGATTTCAAAATAATGTGTTGTTCCTCAGTTCAAGCAACTATCAACCTGTAGGGATATCCTGGCATTTTTTATATGGCAGTATAAATATTATAGTTTATGATTCTTTATGAGATCTCTCTATATATTGATAATATTCTACTAATGGTGCACTAACTCCAAGGTATCCGTGCCATCTGAGCCATGAGCAGACCCAACATCACTCTGCACTCTGAGTTCATCATTATGGGACTGCAAATCCTACAGGAACAGGACACTGCACTCTTCATCATCTTCCTCATCCTCTTCCTGGCCACATTCCTGGGTAATCTGCTCATCGTGTTGTTAATCACCTTTGACCAACACTTCCACACGCCCATGTACTTCTTTCTGTGGAACCTGGCTGTCTTAGACATACTGCTGTCGACCTCTGCCATACCCAAAATGCTAGTGGGTCTTTTAGGTCATAAAATCATCTCCTTCTCAGGTTGCTTTGCACAAATGTACTTTCTCATCTCATTTACAGCTATTGAAGGATTTCTTGTTGCAGCCATGGCTCATGACAGGTATGTTGCTGTAGTGAAACCACTACATTATAACACCTTAATTAGTACCAAAGCCTGTATTACAATGATGTCCACAGCCTGGGTGCTGGGCTTCCTAGCTCCTCTATTGTCAGTAGTACTGGCAAGCACTTTGTCATTCTGTGGATCTAACTTTATCCTCCACATTGTTTGTGATTATCACAGTGTAATGTCATTAGCCTGCGGTGATGTTACAGCTCAAATGAATTTTACCCTGTCAGTTGCCATGCTGTCAATCTATGTCCCCTTTCTTTATGTCTTATGGACATACTGCAGAATCATAGCATCAGTAATGAAACTGAAAATTGTGGAGGGCCGTAAGAAGGCTTTCTCAATGTGTTCCTCACACGTAACTGTTGTTTTTCTCTACTATGCTTCTGGTGCTGTAGTGTATATTGGGTTGAGAGAGGAGAGGATACCTCCTGATGGACGCATCTTCATTGGTGGACTGAATTATTTCCTCACCCCTTTGCTCAACCCCATTATTTACAGCTTAAGAAATGAAAAAATCAAAGCAGCTGTTCAGATGTACTTTAAACAAAGAATACTGTCATGTCAGTTCAATAAACCATAGTATCAGGGATGTCAATGTTAAACATGCAAATAGAGAATCAGGTCATACACAAAACATCATAACAACTTTATTACAAATACTACTCACAATTTCATATACTATTTCTTATTGTAAAACTGTAATCAACATATTTTTACTATAGAATATACATATATACAATAATAGTTAAGTGTGTAGCACAACCTAATTAAATCATTTTACATGATTTTAACATTCTTAAATAAATGTTCATAGCATTTCTGGATAAAATCTAATACCTGTGCTTTCAAATCATCGTCTGCATAATTAATGTAACATGATTAATCAATTTTCATTAGGTTAGTTTGGAAAAAATAAAATTCTCTCTATGATCTGATGTCCTGATAGACAGAATTACAGCCTAATAAATATGCACAGTGAAAACCATAAGGCATCAAGCTCCTCTGAAGTGAATTAGAATGACAAATTTCCAGTAACAATTTACCATAATCTTTACCAGAAATCTAATCAAGATGCTTTTCTTTCAAATTAATAACAGTATAGTCACAAAATACATTCTGTCCTTTTATAAAAATACCACTTACAGGTAAATGATTCATAGGAGATGCAACAATAATGGTATATGTATATGTTTTGTACTTATT